CGGTAAATTGGTCGTTGAAAGACAAATTGGATGGTTCGACTTACCTAATTATTATACCAAAAAAAAAACCTTCCCCAATTGAAATCCGAGAGTGTATTATAAACCATGGTAAACAATTCAAAAATTTTTATTTCCGGGAGAAAAAAAGTCTAAAAATTTAAATATCAAGGCTAATATCCACGTTTTTTGAAAAAATTTCGAGGTTTCGAAACCCGGTGTCGAAAAGACTTGATATTTTATTGAATATATATTAAGGTCATATAATGTCGTTTTGAACCATTTATAATCGTTATATATTGTCTTAAATGTTCGCGATAGACTTGAGTTAATGAAAACGGTGCAAGTTGTAAATGGGTAACTTGGTCGTTTAAAGGAAAATTGGAGGGTTCCACCCACTCAATTGGACTTCCGGAGAGTATTAGAGACCATGGTAAACATTTCAGCAATTTTTATTTCCGAGCAAAAAAATCAAAAAATCTCAAAATTGAAGGCTAATATCCGCGCTTTTTTAGAAATTTTGGAGATTTCGGAACCCGATGTCGAATAGACTTGATATTTTAGTGAATATATCTTGGGGTCATATAATGTCATTTGGAACCATTTATGATCATTATATGTTGTCATAAATGTTCGTAGTAGGCTTGACTTTATGAAATCCGTGCAAGTTGTAAACCAGTAATTAAATTGCCCGTTTAAAGATAAATTGAATGGTTCCGCCAACCCAATTGGACTCTCGGAGGGTAGTAGGGACCATGGTAAACATTTCGGAAATTTTTATTTTCGGGCGATAAAAGTTAAAAATTCCAAAATTGAAAACTAATATCCTCGCTTTTTGAGAAATTTTGGAGGTTTCAGGGCCCGGTGTCGAAAATTTCTTGAAATTTTAGGAGATATATTTTGGGGTCATATAATACTGTTTGGAATCATATATGACTATTTGTTGTCATAAATGATCGTGGTAGGCTTGAGTTAATGAAATCGGTGCAAGTTGTAAACCGGTAATTAAATTGGTCGTTTAAAGGTAAATTGAATGGATCCACCAACCCAATTGAACTCCCGGAGGGTAGTAGGGACCATGGTAAACATTTCGACAATTTTTATTTTCGGGCAAAAAAAAGTCAAAAAAAATTCCAATTTTGAAGGCTAATATCCACACTTTTTGAGAAATTTTGGAGGTTTCGAGGCCTGTTGTCGAAAAGTTTTAAAATTCTAGGGGATATATCTCGGGGTTATATAATGTCGTTTGGAATCATATATGATCATTATTTGTTGTTATAAATCTTCGTAGTAAGCTTGAGTTAATGAAATTGGTGCAAGTTGTAAACCGGTAAATTGGTCGTTTAAAGGCAAATTGGATGGTTCCACCCACCCAATTGGACTCCCGAAAGGTATTAGGGACCATGGTAAACATTTCGGCAATTTTTTTTTCGTGAGAAAAAAAAAAAGTAAAAAAAATTCCAAAATTGAAATCCACGTTTTTTGAGAAATTTTGGATGTTTCGAGGCCTGGTGTCGAAAAGCCTTTAGATTTAAGGGGATACATCTCGGGGTCATATGATGCCGTTTGGAACCATGTATGTTGTCATTAATATTTGTAGTAGGCTTGATTTAATTTAATCGGCGCAAGTTGTAAACTGGTAAATTGGTCATTTAAAGGAAAATAGGATGGTTTCACCTACCCAATTGGACTCCTGGAGGGTATTAGAGACCATGGTAAACATTTCGGCAATTTTTATTTCCGGGCGAAAAAAAGAAAAAATTTACAAAATTGAAGGCTATATCCACGTTTTTTGAGAATTTTTGGAGTCTTTGGGGCCTGGTGTCGAAAAGTTTTGGAATTATAGGGAATACATTTCGGGGTTATATAATGTTGTTTGGAATCATATATGATCATTATTTGTTGCCATAAATGTTCGTGGTAGGCTTGAATTAATGATACGTTGTAAGTTGTAAACGGGTATGTAAATTGGTTGTTTAAAGGCAAATTGGATGGTTCCACCCACCCAATTGGACTCCCGGAGGGTATTTCAGACCATGGTAAAAAATTCAGCAATTTTTATATCCGGGCGAAAAAAGTCAAAAATTCCAAACTTGAATGCTATCCACGCATTTGAGAAATTTCGAATGTTTCGGGGCCCGGTGTCGAAAAATATTGAGATTTTAGGGGATACATCTCGGGGTCATATAATGCCGTTTGGATCCATATATGATCATTATATGTTGTCATAAATGTTTGTTGTAAGCTTGAGTTAATGAAATAGGTGCAAGTTGTAAACCGGTAATAAATTGGTCGTTTAAAGGCAAATTGGATGGTTCTACCCAGCCAATTGGACTTCCGGAGGGTATTAGGGACCGTGGTAAATATTTCAGAAATTTTATTTTCAGGTTAAAAAAAAATTAAAAGCTAATATCCACGTTTTTTGAGAAATTTTGGAGGTTTTGGCCTAGTACCATATTTAATCGTAGAATTACTCTACATACTGTAAATTATTTAACCAAGATCCTGTAAGTATAGGCTACTAGATTAGGTCCCGTGCCATGCATGGTAATTTTAAATAATTATACAATAAAATAATATTTAATTAAAAAAACATACATTTGTTAAAAAAACAAAAAATACTAAAATGAATTTGTTTTTAAAAAAAACCAAAATACTATATTTTTTTTTTTGAAATAAATAATATTGTATAATTTAATTAAACATACATTTGTTTTTCAAAAAATATAAATTTGTCTAAAATAGTATGATGAATTTATTATGAAAGAGCTCATTAGCCATACAAGTATTTTAATATACACATTTGACAAAATCTGACATATATATATATATATATATATATATATATATATTTGTATATTTAACCAAAATATTAGTATCATTTTTTTTTCTTTTTAACCAAATGAATTTTTAAAAGCTATTTACTATGTATTTAACCCGTAAATATATTTCTATTTTATTTTTTTTAGAAAGTAAATTGGTGTTGTAAAAAAATAATACACTACACTCAATATGTCAAATATAAGATTCCGTTTTTTTTTCCCTAAAATTTATATCCTCTATAGTTGTTAATATTTTTGTGTAAGGATTTATCAAATATTTTATTTTAAGTAATTTTTAATATTCTAGTTACTTTCTTGAAGTTTCTAAATATAATGTCTTATTTTATAAAGATATTAAATAAAAAAATAAATGCAATTATTGAAGTACATGTGACACTATGATTGACAAAAATTATGTAGAAGCTAAGTTTGAATTATTTTTTTTCCTTTTACATAAGTTTATATAGTTGTCAAATGTCAAGAATACATCAAATATTTTATTTATGTATAAGTTTGTTATACTTTATTTTTATTTAAGATTTGTTTCCTAAAAGAAAAAACTAAGGGACACACCAGAAAATGACACGTGTCATTGCTGGTGTGTCTTTTAATATGTAGTTATTGATTGATTGATAAGTAGATATCTCCTTTGACTACTATCACTACACACTGTTATTCCCTCTAATACAACAAAAGCATGGTACTTCATTCATAATAATTGCAAAAAGGGCAACCACAATATTTAAAGTCGTGTGATAAGGTGAAAGATATCAAGAATTCAAGATGGATAAAAGTTCATAAGACCAGCAAACACTTTGTTTGGATCAAAGGAAATTGAGGGAAAAGAAGGAAAGGAAAATGGAGGGATTGAGGCCTTGTTATGTTCACCTTATTTCAATTTATTTCAGGGTTGATAAGTTTAGATAAGATAAGTTCATGAAAAATAAGGCTCTGTTATGTTCACCTTATTTCTACTTATTTCAGGGTTGATAAGTTCGGATAAGGGTTAATAAATTCAGATAAGTTCTAGATAAGTTGTGATAAGGGTTAACCAAGCTATCCAAGTTTGATTTATAACTGAAATAAGTTCTAATAAGGGTTAATAAGTTTAGATAAGACAAGATAAGTTCAGATTAGATCAGATTAGTTTAGGTAAGTAAAAATCAGGTGAATAGAACACACCCTAAGTTTAGATAAGTTGTGATAAGGATTAACCAGGGCTACCCAAGTTTAATTTATAACTAAAATAAGTTCTAACAAGGGTTAATAAGTTCAGATAAGTTAAGATAAGATCAGATTAGTTCAGATAAGTAAAAATCAGGTAAATAGAACACTCCCTAATTATTTTTTATTTGGATAATAAATTGAAAAAAGAAGGAAAATGGAGGGTAGAGAAATAAAAAAAATTAAATTGTAAGAAATTAATTTTTCTAACCATGAAGAGATTTGGAAGGAAAACTCACCATTCCCCCTCTTTCCCCTCCCCTACACCTCCCTTTATTTTCTTTCCCATTTATTTATCCAAATCCTAAAAAAAAAAGAACCGAAATAGTTTTTTTTAAGGTTGCCCACCCGGTTCACCGAAACTTAGCTCCGACTACATCTAGATCCGACTCGGGTAGCACACCTGACTTATGGTGGGTCAGTCTCCCAACAAGAGTTTCTGCATATGGTGAGGCTCGAACCCGAGACCTCCCTTAAGCGACATCAAGTTGCTTACCACTTGAGTCAACTCTGTATAATAACATAAAGTAATCTCAAAATGAAGATATCTATACTTCTAAGTTCTATCTTCAATAAACTAATTTTTAAAATGAAAGTGTTGTAGTAGTGCTTTTTTTTTTATTTATTTTTTATTTATTTTATTTTTATTTTTTATTTTATAATCCCCAAATCAAACCTCCAAATGTACCAAATCTTGCACTTGTACAATCATTAATTAAAAAAAAATTGTTCATATATAGTATAAAAAATTAAAAAAAATACGTTACATATTTCCTCCGTTTCTTTTTAGTTGACATGTTTCTTTTGTCACGTTTGCCAATGTACAAATTAAATCATTAATATTTTTAATTATCGATAAGCAAAAATTATAAAAAGTTGATATTATGAAAATATACATTGTGACGAATCTAACAAGATCCACTTGACTATATTTTTTCTCACATATAAATTACAAAACATGAACAAAGTAAGGTGTATGAATAGTGCTAAAGTCAAAAAGTGTCAACTAATAAGAAATTACAACTTGTATATAAAAAAAATGCCGCGTCAATCACCCAACTTTATACTTAAATCCGCAACCGTCCATCAAATATAAGTACATCTCTTTCATTCTAATTTCTCTCTCCAAGTTTTGTTGAAGCTTCAACATCCTTCCAATTCCCCTCATTCAAAGTGAATCTCCCGCATTTCACTCACTCCAACACCGATTCAACTCACCATGAATCGGCGACGACTCCGATTCGCCGCCGTTACAACCACCACCATCTTCTCCCTCCTAATCTCTCTCCTCACCTCCACATTTCCGGTTACCTCCGCCGTTAATTCCACCTCCGACAACCTCAATCTCCGCCGTACATCGCCGCTTATTCTGCCTCTCTCACTTTCCCGGAAAATTCCTAGCGCTAAACTCCGGCGTCTTCTTCAAGCTAAACGTGTTCCTATTAATGCTCGCATGAATCTCTTCGACGATCTCCTCTCTAATGGGTATGTATAAGTATAAATTGTGAAAATCTCCCATTTTGTTTGTTCTTCAATTTTTAGGGGAAATTCAATAATTTTGGTTTTTTTTTAGGTATTATACGACGAGATTGTATATAGGAACTCCACCGCAAGAATTTGCGTTGATTGTAGATACAGGAAGTACTGTTACTTATGTTCCTTGTTCTGATTGTGATCAATGTGGAAATCATCAGGTATTTTACCTTTTTTTTTATTATTTTTTTTTATAATTTAATTTTGAGTTTTATTTGTTGATTATGATTATTAATTCATGAGTGAGAGTGATTTGATTGGGAGGAACTTAGTAGAATTTGGATTAACTTTGTTAGTGAGGTTGGTGGATCTGAAAAGGATAGATTGATAATGTATAAATTAATTTGGTTCAGTGTTTTACAAGCAATACTTTATTTAATTTTTAGTTATTATTATAATAAACGTGAAATTGAAGTTTCATTGTTCTACATTGTGTTGACACTATGTGATTATCCGGAGGCAAACTCGAAATGGATTCAAATTCGGATTATGGAATGATGTCAGGTGTGGTTTGAGCTTGATAGTAGCTGACGATCTAATTTGATGATTGCATACTTTGTCCATTGTGGAATTCGTCGTGATAATGATATTGAATACATGTAATGTGAGAATTATAAATTATTACTTTATACTTATTTGTATTCTACTCAATTACTCATGCAACATTCCAACAATTCCACAATACAGATTTTAATTTTAAAAGTTATCTAGCTTTTCTGCTAATTTGGTTTCCAAGAATGCAAGCTCTAGTTCCTTTGATATGATGATATCTTTGTGTGAAATATGTGGATGTGGATGTGGATGTGGATGTGGCTGTTGTTTTGTGGAATTTTCTAACTATTGGAGGGTGTAGACTTATGTTTCGGAAAATATGTGTAGTGATCCTCTAGTTTGGAAAATGAATTGCTTTGTTTTACCGTTCTTGCAGAAAGATTGGATTTTGGGGGTGAAACTAACCAAAATTGGAGGGTGGGTGTAGGCTTATGTACGGTTAAATATGGGTAATGGTCTTCTAGTTGGGGAAATGAGTTGTTTTTAATGAAACTATATTACCATACTTGCCGAAAGATAGGATTTTTGGATTGAAACTATCCAGTTGTAATTTTGAAGCATATAAAAAATATAGTCATCTTAGAGTACGGTTGTCAAAAATTGGACATAATGTGCTGAGGCAAGAGGAAATTAATTTCTGCATTTACTTTGTTGAATTTCAGATACTTTGCTTGAATTCTTTCTGTAGGAATTTATATACTATATTTTCTTTTGTCTGTTCTCATATGAATTACATGCTTGGGTGTTGCATCCTCAGAGGGTTTCTCCCTGTAATACCTGTGCGTGCTTTCCAAGTAGTATAAGATAAATTCCAGTAAACATTCGGAGTATATCATTTGTTTTTTTTTTCTTTTCTTATTTATGTACTTTTGTAATACATGCCTAGGTGTTGCATTCTCCAATTGTTTACTTTTTCCATCCTGCGAACTTTGTATGAAACAGAACTAGATGATTTTACTCCCTCCTGGTTCTATAAAGGGTGTGTGAAATAAATTTGTTTTCTTTCTTCTTAATTTTTTTTTACCTGTTTACCTCTGGTTCTTTGCTTAATTGTTTTACCTCTTTTTTCTAATTTTTTAAAATTTGTAGGACCCAAAGTTCCAACCAGATCTTTCAACCACCTACCATCCCGTAAAATGCAATCCTGATTGTACATGTGATGCTGAGAATGCTCAGTGTGTTTATGAGAGACAGTATGCTGAAATGAGTTCTAGCAGTGGCGTTCTTGGTGAAGATATTGTATCATTTGGCAACCAGAGTGAGCTTAAACCCCAACGTGCAGTTTTTGGTTGTGAAAATGCAGAAACTGGTGACCTGTACAGTCAGCATGCTGATGGTATAATGGGTTTGGGTCGGGGTGATCTAAGCATTGTGGATCAACTTGTTGATAAAAGTGTTATTGGTGATTCCTTCTCACTTTGTTATGGCGGGATGGGTATTGGTGGTGGTGCTATGATTCTTGGCTCTTTGTCACCCCCCTCCGACATGGTCTTCAGCCATTCTGACCCTGACCGCAGGTATGAGCTGAAAGGATTAATTAATTGTATAATACTTTATATATTTTCCTTAATATCTGACACATTTACTCTAGTTTCTGGATGCCAACAGTCCATATTACAATATTGAGCTGAAGGAATTACATGTTGCTGGGAAGAAGCTGGCTATTGATCCGAAGGTTTTTGATGGTAAACATGGAACTGTTTTGGATAGCGGTACAACATATGCATATCTACCAGAAGCAGCATTTGTGGCATTTAAGCGTGCAGTAAGTTTTTTTTTTATTTTTTTTCTTTTTATCACTAAGGACTTCTCTGTTAGCATTTTACTATTTCTGATTCTAGATGAGATGACAAAGTAAGTTTGCAACTGTAAAATCTATTCCCCCCCCCCCCCCCCCCTTTCCCTCCAGTTGTTATGCTTTAATTTATTATCTATTCATATATCTTGCTTTAATTTGACTAAATCCGTTTATTACAGAGTATTATGTAAAAACAAATAGTATTACGTATTTATATTTTTTTTCTACTTTGTAATAGATGTGTAAGGATATCAATCGTTTAAGTTTTGTGATGGGGAAACTGAAAGTAGAAGGTAGAACAATTTTAAAAACGGAGGATTATTATTTTAAGTCATGTTTTTGTTGCAATTCGACTATATGAGCAATTAAACAAGAATGTCACAGAGCGAAAGAGAGTGAGGAGTGTCTTAGGTTTATTGATCCCTCAATTATGCAAAGAGAAGGTTTAGATTCTGATTTGTAATTGAATGACAGAGAATGTGAGGAGAGGAGTGTCTTAGGTTTATTAACTATAAATAATGCAAAGAATTGGTTTGGATTGTGATTTGGAACTATATGTGATCCTTTTCTTAACCATGTAAGCATAGATGATGCTGTATTTTTCCACAATATATGCCAATTAACTATTATGCATGTTGTTAATGCAGTTAATTAGTGAACTCCATGGCCTTAAGCAAATTCGTGGACCTGACCCCAATTATAATGATATTTGCTTTTCTGGTGCTGGAAGGTAAGTTTATACCACTGATAACTTATACTCTGACTTAGCAGTTGTTCTGTCCCAAATTGTAAATTTCTGTCATGCTTGTGTTTCTGCAGAAAGGTTTCTGAACTATCAAAGACATTCCCTGCTGTTGATATGGTCTTTGAAAATGGTCTAAAATATTTACTATCACCGGAAAACTATTTATTTAAGGTGATTTTGGTGGCTTATTCCTTGTTTTTGTTGGCTTGTTTAAAAAAAACTCCTGACAACTTTCAATTTTAGGCAAACTTCAGGGTTAAATAGTAGGATGGGAATAGTATGACATGATTAAACTTCTGATTTATATTAGAATATATCTCATGCTCACATGTTACTTCCGTATTCAGCATTCAAAGGTGCCTGGTGCGTATTGCCTTGGAGTTTTTCAGAACGGGAAAGATCCCACAACTCTTTTAGGAGGTATTGTGTACTTAACTATTTATCTGATCTTCTAATAAAGACTTTTTTCTGGTTTTTTTCGAGTTTTGATGTTTTTGTTTGATTTGTGCTAACAGTCTCGCGATGTTCTTTTGCTTAATTATAGGAATTGTTGTCCGTAATACTCTCGTGACATATGACCGTGAACACTTGAAAGTTGGATTTTGGAAGACGAATTGCTCTGAGTTATGGGAGGGACTTCGTGTGACTGATAATTCACCCACACCCGCACCTGCACCTGCACCTGCCCCATTAAATGGGGAGGTTTCCACTCCAGGATTGTTACCAACACCAGCTTCAGCATCAGCTCCAGGACCAGCACCTAAGGGAGTGCCAAGTTATGCTATTCCAGGTACATTCACCAAGTGTTCCTTCTTTTTTTGCAGTATTAGACTTGAAGAATTTTATTGCATTAGAATGACTTGTTCAAATGTCAATTTTTCACCTCCTTTGTAAATTAGAGTTTTTGTACATGTTTATACTACGTATGTTTGTTGACGTCTGTTTTCATTGACTTTATTAATCTCAGGAGAGATAAAAGTTGGATTCATTACATTTGATATGTCTTTGAGCATCAAAGACTCGGACTTGAAACCTCGCATATCAGAGCTATCCGGCTTCATTGCTCAAGAGTTGGGAGTCAATACATTACAAGTAAGTTGAGCATAAAGTTGATCTTTCAATAGTAATTCTATTGGAGCTAAGAAGTAATCAAAGTTTTGCAACTCCAACTTTCCCCTCTAACATAGAATGGTTTAAGACTTCTCTTTCACATCTTGAGCTCTACTCGGGAAATTCTATTTGCAGTCCAATAATATCTTCTTGCTTTTCATCATGTGAGAACAGTCTTCAATGTGTCTAATAGTGGGAGTACCATAAGGCATTTAATGCAAACAGCATTTCATTCGTTTTATTTATTTATTTATTTTTATTTGTTTGGTAAAGAGCTCTTTTGTTGGTTTCTCCAGGTTCATTTACTAAATTTCACTTCGTCCGGAAATGGTTCTTTGATAACATGGGGAATCTATCCGGAAAAATCTGCCAAGTATATAGCAAACACAACTGCAATGGTAGGTTGTTTTTGATGAAAGATTTTAATTTTGGAGGAAGCTGGATTGTTATTTCCTAATATTAATTTGATCATTATCATTGCAGCATATTATTGCCCATTTAGCAGAACATAATGTTCAACTTCCAGATACCTTTGGCAGTTATACGCTAGCTAATTGGAAGGTTGAGCCACCTATGAAACGGTAAAGTCATTATTTAAGTTTCCCTAATATCTGGAATATGTTGGTTTATATTTTTCTTGTGTATTTTTCCCCTGTTCCTTAATAATCAGTATGCGTGTGTATTATTATTTCTCTGGTCATTCTGTATTTTGCGACTTTACTAGTCTGTGATTTTGCAATATCCTTATTCCATACAATTGGAGAAGTATAGTTTATAGTCCTTTCTCTGACCATTTATGTATATTTTGTTCTTGATGTTTCAATGAAGTGCTAGGAGTGTAGGGCTTCGCGGGTATAGGGGCAGGATTAGCTTCTTCTCTTTATAGTTGCATTGCTCTAGTTTCTGTTAATATTGAAGTATGCCCTTTGTCATATTTGACCTCCATGATCTCATGTGTTTACTGTTTAGTGCCATGAGTGTCGATGCAATGAATGCTCAGAATTCAAATAAAGTTCTAATGCTCAGAATGCAGTGAATGCTCAGAATTCAATTAAAGTTTCATTTTATTTATTTTTTGGCTTTTGAGGTCACTGCTCAGTATGCAATTGATGATGAAAGAAAGCTATGCATGTAGTTTTTGTGGAAAAAATTTTCTTTGTGGGGAAACTGACCTTGTTCTTTCAACCAAGTTTTGTATAATTTCTGCTCTCCTTAATTTGATTCTATTGATGCAGGAGTTGGTGGCATCAACATTACTTGCTAGTGGTCATGGCAGTTATTGTTTCACTGATGTTGGGTATATCTGTTTATGGGATTTGGTTCATTCGGAAATGGAGGCAGCAAACAACAATACAATACAAGCCTGTTGATAGTGATACTGTAGTTCCTGAGCAAGAACTCCAGCCATTGTAAACGAATAATGAGTTATTCTCCCATTCTTTTACTTCCAAGATTTTGTTGTTGTAGAGCAAGGTAGAATACGTACAAGTTTAATGCCTAATTAACGAGGGAGCTGTCCTTGATTAATGCAAAATGCCTAGAAGAGAGCTATTGCCAGTCTCCATTTTGTAGATAAATTCTTAATCTCTAATAGTAATACACTAATACATGATGAAATCAATAGTTTACATTTCTGCTGCTGTTGTTAAATGACTTTTTATAAAGTGCATTTCCTTTGTCCTCCCAGCTCTTAAGCATCCTGAATAGTACGAGTACTCCATATTACATCTCTTTGGTTTGGGTGTTTGATAAGCTCTAAATACTACGTCGTACACTATTTGTTTTTGAGCTACTTAAATGTTACCAGACCCCAAGTTGACAAGTTCATATCTTTCAATTTGTTTCTTAGTGCAATAAATGACACAGTAGTACTATTTTGAGACGGGGTCACAGAAGTATTATTTGACGTGGTTTAGTGGCTTAGAATGCGGAAGAAGACCTAATGGGCGAAGTCTTTTTTTAATTGGAGAGGACTTCTAGAGAACTTAGAATTTCAATTTTTAAGAGTAGAAAGTTTTGATGCTGACTTTGTATAATGGTGATTATTATGTAATCCGCAATTGATGACGCTGCTTATTAGACCAAACACGCTCTCTGGTAATAACTTGTCAGGGAAGCAATTAAGGGCCTCAACTGAAGTGAAGTGAACTGAAATGAATATTTTATAAGAGAAGGAAATTAAGAGCGGAGCTGAATTGAACTGAACGGAACTGAATTTCAACTTATACAGGCCCTAACTCCCAAGTCATACTGTATTTTGTATGAGTACTCCGCACACTTATACCATACTTCTACAGTTTTACATTTATCACGTACTCCGTATTAGAATCAAGGTTGGTCTACTGATTGGAAGCCCTCCTTTCACCCCTATGAAAGGAGTTCGATTCTCACCCCAAGCAAATGGGATCCCTAATAGAGTTTTGAGCTTGATTATCATTACATCATTTTCTTTGGTGGTAATAAATTAAAATATAATCACAAAATAACTATATTTCTTGATGGGTTGACCGATCGTTCAACAAATAGAAATATAATAGCTAACTAAGTAACTTTGAAAAGATTCAATTATACTTGGTAAATGTTTGATTAACATATAAAGAGCATATTGTATGAAAAAAATACGAAGTATCTAAAAGTTACTTTCTTATGATTGACAAAACCACTAAAAGTCTTATAATTATCTCACTTTGAATATGAAATGTAATTCCTTAATTCCAATCACAATGAACGACTAACGACTAATAGTGGAGCATAAGTCAACACAGTTGAAATTAGAAAAATAATATTTCTCAGTTTTCCTACCTTATTTTTGTTCCAGCAAATCACACAATTTCCTTGGTAGTTCATTACAAAGATGGGAGAACAACCTAGAAAATTTAAGATTAGTTGTTAAAAGTTGCTTAGCTTGTTGACGTTTTTAGTCAAAGGTCTTCCCACAATAAAAGCACTTGTTATATAAACGGCAAATTTAGTACAACAACAAAAACACGCTCGACGTGTTTGAAAAGTCTTATCTTTCTCTCTTCTTTTGTTTCTTCCGCCATTTTCGCTTTTTTGCTCTTCACTTTCAGGTACTTCTCCTTCTTTCTTTATTCTGTTTATAATTGTTGATTAATCTGAGTTAAAAGATTATTTCTTTGATCATAGTTTTGTGTTTTTGTACTTACTGTTTGCGAATTTCACATTTTTATGTATATAGTTTCACTGTTTTATTGCAAATTAATTTTCTTGTTGTTCAATGTTGTTAAACCTTGAATTATTGGTTTATTTTCGTGGTATTGGATACTAGAATGCGGTTGTTTATGTATTTAATTAGTTTCCGAGGTTGAAAATATTCTACGGGTATTCTCTATCAATTTGTATACTAAGATATTATTTGATACTTAGATCAGTAGCATTTCATCTCATGTATAAGTAGTTTTCTAGGTGTCAATTTCAAAAACTTAATTTAGCAGAAATAAAGGGGGAGTTTTGGAGAAATATAACGAGTAGTTTTGAGAATTTGGGCAAAAGTTTATTGCACTTTACAATTGCAATTGCATATTTTATTAATTTGGAATTCCTGCTTAGTATCAAAGATTCAAAGGCTGATTGGCTTCCTGCATGATTAGTTCTTTTCTCGAGTTTGCGTGTTGTTTATTGATCATGATTCATGATAGCATATGAAAGATGGTGATATGTGTTGTTTTTGGTACAGAACATGTGCACAAGAAGAACATAGAGGCATTACACATATAAATAAAATCCTTCAAAAATTAGTCCATCATGGTTTCATACACTGACTTAGAGCAAGGTGTAGTTGGAGATGTCAATCAGCAGAAACTGCACAAATCATCTGAAGCCGGCGAAATTAATGAAGTAGGCATGATGGCTAAGGATCAAGATCTTCCTGCACCAGCAGCAACAGGCACTCAGCAAAAGGAAAGGAAAAGATATAATCCTAAAATTCGAGTTCAGTCGATGGGACTTTCACCTATGATTGTACCTTTGTCTGCAAGGGAAGGTCAAAATGAGGTTGCTGCAAGATTTGAGGCCCATGTTAAGGAATTAGTAGAGAATTTGAAAAGTACAACAATCGAGACTGTAAGGGAAGCCACCTGTGAGCTCCGGATTTTAGCCAAGGAATTGGATAACCAAATCTTGATAGCGAGTTGTGGGGCTATTAGCCCTTTGGTTGACCTCCTTTGTAGTTCAGATATGAAAACTCAAGAAAACGCGGTCACAGCTGTTCTGAACTTGTCTATCAGTAACAACAATAAGATCAGCATTGTCAAAGCTGAGGCAATTGAGCCTTTGATTCATGTCCTTCAGACTGGGACATCTGATGCTCGGGAAAATGCAGCTGCAACTCTTTATAGTTTATCTGTTTTCGAAGAGAATAAGATTAGGATAGGGAATTCAGGAGCTATTGATGCTTTGGTGGATTTGTTAGGGAATGGAACACCCCGTGGTAGGAAGGACGCTGCCACTGCTTTGTTCTACCTGTCTACATGTACTGATAATCGGCTTACAATAGTGAAATCAGGTGCTGTAAAACATCTGATAGACTTGATGGATCCTGCAACTGGGATGGTCGACAGGGCAGTGGTTGTGTTAGCAAATCTTGCCTCGGGTCCTGAAGGAAGAAAGGCTATAGCCGAAGCAGGGGGGATATCTCTTCTTGTTGAGGCGATTGAGCTAGGTTCACCCAGGGGAAAAGAGAATGCTGCTGCAGCACTTGTGCATTTTTGTGCAGACAGTAATAGATACTGCAGAAGGGTGTTAGAAGAAGGAGCTGTGCCACCTTTAGTAATCTTGTCCATGTCCGGAACCTCAAGGGCCAAAGAAAAGGTACGGTACAAATTTTTGTAATCATTTTCTTACTCCTTCCGTCTCATATTGAATTTGTACTTTCCATTCCGAGGTGTTTTGTCAATGTCCGGACCACAATGTCTAAAGACAACACTACTGAGAATTTTGATTTGTTATTAATTAAGTGTTTTTCTTTTGCTGTATTGCAGGCTAACAGGGTTCTGCAGCATTTGAGAAACCTAAAAGCAGCTTATAATGCCAGAGCAGGCGGATTGTATACCTGAAATTTCGCAATGTCGTCTGTGGTAACTTTATTTTAATAATCAGTTGAGAAATATATAGTATAAAATTAGTTCTTCTGAATTGTTCGTTCTTCTGTGAATATTGTGTAAAAGATAAGGTATACGAAGTATTTGCCTTGATAATTGGGCAACTAACAGGATGTAAATTGTTCTGTTAGGTCAAGTTGGACAAGTAAGAGCATCTTTGACATTTCGCCTCCTATTATCTGCTTAACTGTAGTAGACAATTAGCCTTGCTTCTGTAAACCTGACCTTCTAATTAGAGGATGATACGAAGTACTCCGTATTATATTGAAATGACAGTAACAAATAACAACAGTACTACAAGAAATACGTCGCTATGTAATTGTGCAAATGGAAGTAAAAATGATGTCCATGATGTTCGTGTGACACCAAAATATTTATTTCGGAGTTTAAAGTGAAACATACCGTACATAATTACTATTACTCATAAGAAAATACTTCCCTATGTCCGTTTATAATTTAGAAATTACTAACGTAGTTACAATTATTTCCGGACAAAGGGAGGGGAGACCAGTCGTAATTCTGTGTAATACAGAGTGATATCTAAGGGCACTTGGGGTTGCCCTTAGAGTTCATCATGTCTCTGTAGCAAGGACATTCATGTTTGTTGCCATAAGTCCCTGATGGAACACAATTACACTTAAGGCAACACTTGAGGCAAAATGTTAGACATCGGTCATGTCCTGATTTACTGCATCTCACCCCACACTTGGAGTCACAGTCCAAACCTGCATTTCAGAATCAATTAAATTCCAGCATTCGGTCTTTAATTTCAATGACTAGTTAGGTAAATAGAGAGAAATTCAAATTCTGAAATTTTATTTTATTTTATTTATTTATCTATTTTTATTTTTATTTTTTGGTATTACTCACGTCTATTTTTTGAACTGCAAAAGTAAAAGCAATACCCTCTTTAAAAGTTGTTCAAATGTATAAATATTTTGAACGGCAATTTTTTCACTTTCCACAAAATAAAATAAAAATATCATATAACTAATATATAAAGCTAAACTTTTAGCCAGATCACGAAATAGTGACACTTGTCATTCTAACTTTTCGCCAAATGTTGCGCCACCTTGGATAGATTTAAATAGATTCATAAGATAAAAAAGTTGTTAAAAATTCTTTTTTCAATCAAATTAGGATAGAATGTTAGAATAAGATGGTTAGTTTAGAGTTTTATTTTCGATAAAATACCAAATAATAAACTTAAAATTAGGCCACAAGACAACACCGTATAACATTTTAACTTTTCGCCAAGTGTCGTGATAAATATAGATAGCTTTATATAAAAAAAGTTAATTAAAAATTCTATTTTTAATCAATTAAATTGAATTATAATATAATTTTATCTTAAAATTCCATAAACAACTCGGGCATCCACGGGGCACAAAACTAGTATATATATATATATACTTTCTCCACTTCAAATCATTGTCATCCACTAATTTATAAACTATGACTAGGTCTTTAACAAAATCATTGTTGAAACCTATAATATTTGCTAACTTAAAAAAAAAAAAAAAAAAAAAAAAAAAAAAAAAAAAAAAAAAAAAACTATCAAGCAAGTCACATAAGTTTTACATAGAGAACTAACTATATAGTATGGACTAGATCTTTGTTAAAGGAAAATGCATAAAATTAAGCATATTGTGTTTGATGAAAAGACTTCTTACTTGAGTTAGGCTTGATTGCATCAGAAATAGCCATGCATGGATGAACTAAAGAAGAGGCAAGAACGAGGAAAACAATAGACAGAGTTGCGAAAACAAGCTTCATTTTTTCTTTAATTTTATGGGGAATTGTAGCTTTACTTCTAATTACTATGGCCTTGATTATATAGCTGAAGAAATACTAAGAAAGCTCAGTATATTAACACATGTTCGGCTATTAGGCAGTGCTACAGATTTTTTTTTACACAGGACACCGTATGTCGTCTGAGTTGTGACTCATGCAAATACACACAAACGCTACTAAAAGCGCTATTTTATATTGTATATAGTACACTCAAGCATTTAATCCATGTAAGGCACGTCATTTCATCTTTTTGTTAGTTGCCTAACTGGTAGAAAATTAAGTTAGTTTGTATAATAATGAACTTTAGATAAGAAATCAGTTGTTACTTACACATATTACTTACACCTTATATCACCAATATGATAAGAAATCCATTAATACGCAACGGTACATCCGTACATAGGACTAAAATGATGTTGAGAAACACCAATTCATTTATTTCGGAGTTTCGAGTGAAACATACCGTACATAATTTACTCTTAAAAGCATACATACTAACCTATGCCCATACATAATTCAAAATAAATATACTATCATAATGACAACAAATTTCAGACAGAGGAAAAGGTGACGACCTCTAAATTTATTTATCTTGTGACAAACTTAAGGGCACTTGGGTTTGCCCTTAGAGTTCCTCATGTCTCTGTAGCAAGGACATTGGTGTTTGTTACCATAAGTCCCTGATGGTACACAATTGCACTTCTGGCAACAAATTTGGCAGAATTTCATACAGCCTTCGTGTCCTGCTTTACTGCATCTCGCACCACACAATGAGCCACAATCCAGATCTACATTCCAAAATCAACCATACTTAAGTTCTCAGCTAATTGAAGAGAGAATATATATATTGACAAATAAAAAATTAAACCAATCAAGGCACTTCCTTTAAATAAATTAAAACTGGCTTATTTTGGGTTACAACTTCAACTAATAGGTGAACTGAACTGTACATTTTATGAGAGAAGGAAATTAAGAGCTGAACTGAACTGAATTGAACTTATTAGAGCTGAACTGAAAATAATCCGATGAGAACAGGTTAATAGTACAAGTTAGATATACGTTGTAATGATATTGAGTGTGAAATAATAAGATTTGTTACTATTGCTAGTCTTGAGTTCAAGCTCTATTATAAACGTTTTTATTGTTATTAATATACCAGACATTTTTTTTGTCCAGTCAACATTATTAGAAACATCGAAGTGTATTTTCATAGAATTATCATGCTTTTAGTGCTAAGACTGTTAACTATGAACATAATAGTGCATATAATGATGAAGATCAATGTTCAAAATTGACTTAAAAAGTTACTCCGTATTATTCAGTCTTGTCTAAGGAAATGCATACAATAATTAAGCATATAGTACTTGATAGAAAACCACTTACTAGTGTTAGGCTTGATTGTATCATTAAGAGCCATGGATGGATGAACAAAAGATGAGGCAAGAACAAGGATAACAATTGACAGAGTTGCAATAACAAGCTTCATTTTTCTATGATGTCTTTGCAATCTTTACTTAGACTTTGATTTGGTTTCTTGAGTTGGAGTTGTAAGGCTTTATAATAGGGATACATTAGATGCGAGTGAGACAACAGTACCGTGTATAAGATTAGGTCATTCATAGCATACTACACATGGCCAACCTAAGGACCCCTGTATATTTAGAGCGTCCAAATGTATACATCATGGTATGAATATGAGATAGACACAACAAGGTCAGGCTCCATACCGATCATGAAAGGGACTATATGTTAACGTAAATTTTAAATCATTATGTATAATAGAATAGCTAGTATGATTCAATTTTCTTGTAAATAAATTTGTTGTTCATAATGTCATTTGTTACATATTAATATTTTATATTCAAAAGATTGAATAAAGAATCACATAACTTGGTGGTAAGACTTAATTCTAGAATTAGAGGTTGCATGTTCAAATCTTGTGGAGAAAAATAGTTACTAGCCCATTATGAACGCAATACGTGTGTGATTCTATATGTTTCTTATATTGTTTTTAAAGGCTCGAACAATTTCAATCGAAATTTTTTTTAATAAAATTGCAATAAGCTCAAGATAGACATGGACTTGGGATCACATGCCAAAATATGACAACACATTGAAGGGTGGTCCTATGTGTCCTTCAGGTTTTTTGGAATTTTTTTTGACACAAGGTTTTTTGGAATTTTGGCTCTAGTTCAGTGAACATTAAAGAATCATATGCATGCGTTCGTGCATATGCCAAATTTTGTAGCGCACATAAGGTTGAATGTAGCATGGGCGTGTCCTTAAATTGGGGAAAATCGTGTATCTTGCACAGAAGTTGAAGTGTCTTAATAAACAGCTGCCCTTGCATCCGTGCTGCTGTGCGCGTCCTCGCGATGAGGTTATCGCACCCCTGCATTACTGCAATACACAGCATGCCTCTTCTAGGGGCAGTTCTTGCGGAATTTGCACTCATTTTTCTGTACTTTAGGGTATGGGGAGTATCTCCAAGGACAAAATCTTTTGACGGTCCAGTTGATATTGTAATTCATGTTCTTAGCTCTAGATACACCCAAATGTATAATGAAGTTTGCAAACAATCGGTAAATGGTGAGAGATTGATAATTTGGTGGGAAAGGATGTAAACATTGAATTAGTGCCAACAGCATCTACAAAGAAAAGATGATGCACATATTGTATGCAATTTTATATGATCAATTAGACAATTACTAATTTCCGCATATCTATAACATACAGAGTAGGAAAAAAATACTTCGTATATTTACATGATCAATTACTAATCTCTGCATATCCGTAACAATATAACATACAGTGTAGAAAAAATACTTCATATAATTATATGGACTAAGGTAATGTACAACAACACACTCATACAGGAAACCTATGTACAAACTAGAAACTATCTCAATTCTTCAGAGGAAGATTTGATCCTGACCTGAGATACAGAGGCCATGGTACTAAAAACTGATTCAGCAATGACCTTCGAATATGAAGATGTAATTATGTAGAATTGCAGATAAAATTTATACCATTATACATTACAAACTTCGTATGATATATATTTACTAAGATCAACCACCAAGGCTAAAAGACGGGCAGGACTGCTGTAAGTAAGAATCGTCTTCACCTTCCTCACTAGATGATAGCAAATTTACCTGCCAAAGCATGGTCAAAGTTAAGAATGTTTTACAGGCCATGAATCCACAACTACGCATATACTAGCCAGAGAAAACTTGCATAAACAAAATTACCTTGATTATTTCACACTTGGAGTTTGATTGTGCATAAGAAGCTAAGATACTCATGTTGAACGGCTGCCATTTACAAAATGAAACAAAATCGTCATATATACAGATTCACAATCACCTATACTCCTACAGGCCAATAATATCTTCTCTATTTTTGTTTATCCAAATAGAAAAGGTTACAGCGGGAACAGAAAAGATTTACCCTGAAAGGATCACTCCTCAAGGACTGCACGAACATTGCTTTGTCTGAGCCTTTCCCCTGCAAATCATCCAGGAAAAAAATTGAGTACAGGGAAAAATGAAGAAACGAAAAGTCTTACTATCCGATAGAAGTTGTAACATTGTCCCAAACCCCAACCTCTCACAATTAAGGATATTGAAAGATCTAACAAAATTCCCCTTTATGCTAGTGGCTATGCTATCTTCTCTCAATCACATTCTAATGTACTATATATGATCTTGATATGAATTACAGACAAATGGAATGTTTTCATGCTTGAAAATTTGTAATTTCAAGAGTTACCTCAAAATAAACATCTCTCAGTCGCCTTCCTGTCTGAGCACAGCAAATGCGGACAACATGTTCATCAGAACTGCCTGTAATAATATAGTCGCTCCCATTCATGTAATATGAACGTGTATAGTTCTGTGAACTTCCACTTGAAGCAATACCAAAGTCTGTGTGCAGTCTCCCGTCAGCAGCCAAAAGTTGTCTCACCTGGGCAATCAATTTCAAAAGGTCATAAGTTTGTTCTTTTTACTTTAACATAATAAAGTTTTATATTAAATAAGTTTAAATAAGTGTCAACTGTCAAACACATATAAGATCCATATAGTTTATATAAGAGCCAGTAAATCCATTTACGAAGATTACCTCATTATCTACAGCTGACACAAGCAGATACTGGTCATCGGGGGAGAAGCAAACCATCACATTGCCTCTTGAGCTAGTAGCAGTATAGCAAGGTCGGACCATTTTTTGTCTAATATCCCACATTTTCACATCATGATCAAATGATGAAGTCGCAAACATAAATGGGGAGAGATGGGAAAACTTGGCAACATTAATGGGCTCTTGATGTAGATCACCGAATAACTGTGAGCGTTTTCCAGTAACCATATCATACATGGCTACATTTCTTGTGTAACCACTCACAAGAAGCATTTCATCAGTTGAGTTGATATGGACTGAAGTCAACTGCTCAAACTTATCAGAGGCGTTAAAAACACGATCATAACAGGAATCTGCACCCTTTGCCGAAGTGTTACTGATGTCATACAATCTTAGCAAACCGTTATCAGAACCAGCAAGTACCTGGTCATACCACACAACTATTAGCTAATCCTATTCGCATTATGCCAAACATTCTGAAATTATGAAGCAGGATAAAAATATAGACATTGATTAATATTCCCTATGCCCTATTCTTGCACCTTATTTTCATTTGGCTGAATTTTTACAAAAATTATTCACAAAGCCACATAGGTTATTCTTCTAAGGTTATTCCTCTTTACTGTGTCTCTATGCCTTTTTCAAGTTAACAATATATAGCATCTAATGGAACAGAGAAAGTCCAATGTAAAGGCAATCTTATTAACTCAATTTTAGAAACTGTCACGAATAATCTATTTACAATTTAATATGCATGCCAGTACTTTACAGTGCTGAAAATGATGCCTCAAAGACCATAAAATTATGCAAATTTTGTGCGTGTGTGTGGATGGATGGGGAGAGGGGAGATGCAGAAAGGGTTTACATTATTCAATATGATCTTCATTCTAAAACGTGTGCCTTACCTTGGAGGGGTACTTCTTAAGCCAACATAGACCCAAAATGCTATTCCTTGCTCCCAAGGGTGGCATGTAAGCAATTTTCTTGCCATTCTCATGGTTGATCACCACCACTTCTCCATCCAAAGTTCCAAAAGCCATAAGGCTAGAATCGGAAGGATGATATTCAAATTGCCTAGGACGGAACCTCCTGCTCTCTTCATTTGTAGCGAAGCTAATACTAGAGAGGGAATTTAAATGTGGCCATGGTGAGGCACCTAACTTGGCTGCACAAAGAGACCGTGAAAAACTCTGCTGATTCTTCCTATGGAAAGAAGATTGCTTTGACTTAAAGGGAGTTCTACTGGATGCTATTTCACGATTATGAAGGATGCGGGAAACATTCTCTTCTGCATGTCTTTTATATGGCAAGTTTTCAAAATATGTTGAATGTATCACCTGAGCTAGTTTTTTGTCCTTCTTTCCAATAGGTAAATTGTCTAAAACCTCTAACCGCGGCAAGGAAGCAATCATGAACTCCCTATAATATTTCTCAAAGCATAAAGGTGAAGGATGATGTGAAATGTACTTCTTTCTTGCAGAAGCAACTGTTACGCCTTCATTGAGGTCAAAATCATACCCATCTTGTATGTTGGACTCATCACGGAAAGTCTGAAATGTATATAGTAAGAGAATTCATTAAAAAAATCAACAGTGGAACAGTAATTCAGGTGTGAAAATTACCTAGACAAGCATAAGTTATCCTTACCTTTTCCAAACCAGAATGGGGATCAGATGATAAATCCAATAAGCTTAAATTTTGTAGATTATCATAACATGTATTAGGCTGCCCAGTGGGATAATCAGAGTTTCTGACACGAAAACCAAATCTATTGGTAGAATATGCAGGGCATGGACCAGTATCTTCACAGCACAAACAGTTCTGAAATCGAAGTTCTACAAGTGAAGGAAGCTTAGACAGGGCAGTGGTAGTAGTCCAGAGATTAGCAACTCTTGTCTCACACATAGAAAGATGCATTAAGTTGGGCATGTCAGAGAAACAATCCTTGTGTAAGGTAGTCAGTGAGGTGCAAAAGTCTAAATTGAGCTTTCGTAATTGCATAAAGCTTCCAACCATGTCAAGTTTCTGAAGACTAGAAGAGCTCAGCTTTAAAAGTTGACAACACAAACCACTTCGAAATAGATACCTAACAAGGAAAACCTCATAGTGTTAATCATTAGCTAACCATGAATTACAGTGTCTGACAAGAAAAATGTTATAATCATTAAAATATAAAGAGCAAAAAGAAAAATGGAAATTAAAGGTCAAAGCTGTTATTTGACTTAGGTCCTATTCTTTCAACTTATGAAAATAAGGTTCAGTAATAATCAGTAGTTCATCAGACAAAAACACAAGTAAAAGGGCAAGTTTTATAAGCACACATAAATAAGTAGCTCTCAAAACCACACAACAAACCTCAAGAAGCGTTTTGTAAATGGCAAATCTTGAAGACTAACTGTACGGAGTTTCTGGTTGGCTGCACACATCAGTGAAAGAACCTGATCTTCATTTAGAATGCAAGGTGATTCATTAAGTATATCAACAGCATCAACATCGGAAGAGCTCATTGCATTGATCATATCAATAAGAGGCAAGAGATCAGCATCCTTCAGGTGGTCCAGTACAATGACAAGGTTACTTAGCCTTTCAAAAGATTTCTGACACTCAACCTGCATATGTAGGATAGCCAAAATTATTTCTATGGAATTAGCATAAATCAGTCAAGATACTTGTAAATTGTTTGTAAATCTATTAGTACGAGACCTCTTAGACCTATAAAAAAAATGCTCTGCATCCTCGGTGAAGAAGTAACTGGTCACATGTATACCACAGTTGGATTACAGTTTCTAAGGCGGAGTTCTGATGGTAGGAAAACCTTCACAAGAATTAGATTTGTGAGACCTTAACCAAACTAAAGGTTTTGAATTTCAGAAGCTGATTATGGTTAAAAAGTAATTAACTTGGAAAAATCGCAACTCAAACATTTTCCTCTGAGAGAGTGTTTGGGTGGGTGTTTTTTAGCAGTTTCAAACATTTTGAGCAAGCAGTTTCTTGACACCGGACAATCTTCAAGCAAGAGAATGTTGTCAGAACACTCAGAAGACTCAGAACTAGCTGACGACGAATAAATGTGGAGATGCACTTTTAATTTAAGAACTAATGTCTTATACATACTTAAAAATTCTATCTTTGAATTTTGAAATCAATTTCATCAACTACTTTCTACTGAATTACTAACTACTGATACTAGCTCAGAAGTCAAAACATACCTTGGAAAGAGAGCTCAAAATAGCAGGATTAGGCAACACCTTGTACCTTTTGCAACAATTTACATACCTAATTCCCAAAAATCATAACAATCTTATATCAGTATACTATTAATGATTTTAACAAAATTAGGCACTTGAAATATCTAATGATATAAAGGAAATCATGCAAAATATAGTCAATCCAGTTATACATGCAGAGCACTTCAAACTGTTGAGCTTGCATCATATTCATTCAAACAAAGCTCAAGAAGTCACATTTGATTCCATAAGTTAGCAACACTTCCTAATTCGATTTTACTACAGCTTCTACTTTTCAGAATTAAAAAATTTCAAAGCGACTATACATAGTAATATAAGCTATATTATGTACTTCATATGTAGAATTTCATTTGTACTAAGAAATTATGTTAATTCTTGAAACTGACGCAGTGATAACCATAAAACCAAGCTTTGATTCAACTATACAATAAGTGAAATACTACACCTTCTTCTTTTACAAATGATCTTTATCCCACATGCCTTGTCCACAATACACATTAACAAGATTCGGAATTAGGACCAAATGCACAAAATCTAAATTAGTCAACTTTTGATAATCATAACACAATACTAATACACCTATATTTATAACTTCTACATCATAATTAGCTAGATACCATCAAATGTGCCACGAAACCGAATTCCGGCTGCGCATTCATATCCTAATCGTCTACTCCCTCCTTATTTCTTCATTTTTTTTTTCTCCCTTTTCCTCACCAAAAAAAAAAAAAAAAAAAAAAAAAAAAAAAAAAAAAAAAAAACATACACACGCAGAGGACAGTACTAGTTGTTGAATCAAATTTCTACAGTTAAATAATCCATCTCCTGGAAAATGAAAATAATTTTGATTTGGAGAGTATATAGAAATTGAAGAGAAATTCCTTGAAAAAAAAAAATAAAAAAAAAAATTGAAGAGCAAATAAACTGATTTAGAAAGTCAACTTAAAGTAGTACGATCTTACACTTTGGTTGACAATTTTGATAAACAAATCATCTCTGCTTTATTTCTAAATTTAGAAATTATAAGATATTTCAGCAAATCACTTGAAATTATATAAAATAAAATGCCAAATTGAATAATAAACTACTTCGAAATTGTAGAGGAATCTTCAAGAAAAGTAGTATAATACAAGTAGAAACTTAAAAAATAAAGAAAAAGTAAGTACCTGAACTCGAAGCTATCCATTGAAATGAAGTATCTTTTTTCCAAAATTGAATCTGAATCTAAATCTGAATAATTAATTTGTTAATTACAGAGAAAATGGAAAGATAGAATGAAGTAGTAATAGTGTGAAGAGTGAACGATAAGCAAAGTGACTTTTCAAAAAGCTCATATCAAAAAACAAGTTAGGCAAAAATATGGTCGTATTTATAAGAGTACTAGGAAATTACTTTGAAGTAGTTTAGCTGATAATAATTGAGAAGATAAGATAAAATTTGGAGGAAATAATTTCGTGAAACATGTTTAAGAATAATTTGGGGGTAATATGAGAAAACCAAATGGAAGACAATCATTTGCAATTTGGCTATTTGCTATCTTTTACAAAAACTACTCTAACAATTAATTGTACGATTGGCTGTACTAATTTTTTTATAAAATTTCTTTGAATTTGATTGGTAGTGTTTTCAACTTTTGATTAATTAGCAATGTTTGTCAACATTGTAGTAATTAACTTTAATTAATAATGGAGTAGGTTACAACCAATTTGGATTAATTTACAGGGTTTTCAATTTTGCTATCATATCCTTTGTTGAATTTGCTTTCTCCAAAATTGGTTACAAATTTACGCAACATGTATGAATTCAATTGTATAGCTAAAATAAGTAATTTTGTCAAGGAGCAACCTCATTTGGACAATGATTAATCCAAACCTAGTCAACCCCAAAGGACATCTTTCGATCTAAATGTGATCATATTATCAATTAAAGTGTACTTATGTGGAAGTTGAAAATGTTGGCATACTTACAAAGTACAGTTTTATCTAAATTTAATGAACTTATTAAGTTGTTATTATACGTATTGCTATAAGACTAGGTCAATATTATTTTAATTTCTAGTATAGGTGACTAATCAGTTGCCATTATCCTCAATCTTATATTATAATCTACCACAATCCTATATTATAATCTAAATTTGTAATCAAACGTAAAAGTGGACAAACATCACAACAAAAAAAAGTTTATGTGTTACTATCTAACAGAACAAAAATAATAATTGTTATTATCAAAATATGATTGTGCTTTTGTGTTGGATTGTTGATAAGATCATAAGACCTTTATTCTAATTATTTATAAGTAGTACTCCGTTTTTGACTTGCCTTGCTATTATATTGACAAATGACAACCAATGAACCAATATGATAAATACGATAAGCATGCACTTGTTTAATTATAAGTTTGTAACAAAGCAAATGTGAGTATTCGAAATCTACCTCTTTAATTTGAGTACGTAATTGTTTGTTAAAGAAAAACGTCGGATTGTTTTAAAACTTGAGACATCTTGGAGGAAAAAAAAATAATTAAGTCATACTTATATATGATAAAGTTTTTTAAAAGAGAATGTTGAAAAGGTTAGAGAGAATGAAACAAAGCATAATTATATTGATGAAAATACAACTATTTACAGTGTTATAAAAGAATAATCCTAATACAATCTCTATGATTCACAAAAATCAAAAAATATAATAACTGATTATAAAATATATGTCAAAGGTATCAATATAACAAAGATATTTACACAACATATATAAATTCTAAAAAGATTTGATAATAATATTGATATCAAGAGACTTGATATCTGTAATAGTATAATCAGATACGGGCCAATTTTTAGCAAGTTGAATAGGGGCTAGCTTGTTCTAATATAAATTACTTTTTATATTTTTTTTTATTAATTAACGTAAACTTGCGTTTAATTGATTGGTACGAAATGCACAATTTCATTCCACGTGCATACGCAACGTTATTGACTTCATCATTAGCTTAAAAAGAAAGTTGTATGTACTTAAACTTATGTAATCTAATCTGTATTGGTTTCTTAATTATAGTGAATTTACTTGGTGCAACAAGTTGCTCAAATATGTTAAGGAATGTCCTTTTCCTAAACATGGAATAATGACATAATGTCCAAACCACAGCCCACAGGAATGTTGACGTAGATATATAGAATAGTTAGATATTTTGAAACTTGTTGATAAAGTATCAAAGCTAGGAAGATATTTGTTGAATCATCAATTTCGAGCAAAATGGATAGAATCGATGTGGTTGAGAAACTTTATTCGTCTGTTAACATCATCTGCAAAGATGTAGTTGTTGATGTAGTTTTGCGGTGGATCTTGTCTTTAGTTGAAGATTGTACATTGGAGTATCACTTTATTATTCTTGTAGAAACAAGTCAACCAGAGTAATAGACTATGCTTTATTACTTGTTACTTTATTACTTATTACTTTCTTCGTCTCTAAAGATTGTCCCTTATAAATTTTTCACTTAACTAACTTTAAATTGACTGGAGTTAATAAAAGACAAATTGATTGGGTTAGAAATATTTTAATAGATAAAAACAATCGAACATTTAGAAACAATTGCTTTGGGTTTGGGTTTTACATGCAATGTGTTCCTTATTTATATCCAGTCTTAGCGTAAGACCTCCTCCCACTATGAATATGGGGGTGTTTTAGGGTTTGTTTACATGTACTAAATTGGACTGAAGTGATTGGAGCTAACTTTTTTTTTTTTTTTTGACGAAGTGATTGGAGCTAACTGAACTAAATAGAGTTTGAGAAGGAAATTAGGAACTAAACTGAAATTAATCTGAAATTAATAATATTAGATGTAAGCCCGTGCGATGCACGGTTCTAGTAATCATTTTATTTAATTTTAAATTGTGTATATTTATGAAAACCATTCATTAAATATATGGATAAAATTTCTAATATCATAAGATAATTTTTTAATTTTAACACTAAAGTTATATTTTGTTGTTTTATTTATTTTATGTGACGCTTGAATTTAAAATCTCAAACCTTATTTATAAAATATACTCGTTAAAAAATATTTATAAATTTTTTTTGCCTTTGCGTTTATTTAATATACTCGTTGTTTTTAAAATGTTAGTCACATTTTTAATAGTTTAACTATAAAATATTATGGGAAATTAGTCATATGAGATTTAGTTTTATTCGTCTCGATGAGATTATTAAAATCAAACTTTTACAATATTTTCTAGTGAGAGATTAAAGATATTTGTGATTAAAAATTTGCATCCATATATATAAAAAAGATAATTATTGCTTTTTTTGTTTCGTTTTTTTGAGAAGATAATTGTTGGTTTTTAAAAATAATTTAGATTTTAATTATTCTCTACTCGTTATTTTTACCTATGTGTCAAATTAGGTGATTACGTTCATTACCTAGATGTAAGCCCGTGCGATGGACGGTTCTAATAAATTATTTTATTTTGTTTAAAATTTTGTATATTTATGAATATCATTCATTAAATATATGGATAAAAAATCTAATATCATAAGATAATTTTTTAATTTTAACACTAAAGTTATCTTTTGTTGTTTTATTAATTTTATGTGACGCTTGAATTTAAAATCTCAAAATTTATTAACTAATTTTGCTTATGTGACAATTTAAATTTTTAATTCATAAAATAAATGACAAATCTAGTTTTTTTTATTGATCAAAATAAGTCTTTTGCCTATGTGTTTATGTAATATACTCGTTCTGTTTAAAATGGTAGTCTCATTTATAATTGTTTAACTATTAAAAATTATGAGAAATTAGTCATGTGAGATTTAGTTTTATTCGTCTTAGTCTTTTGCCTATGCATTTATTTAATATACTCGTTTTGTTTAAAATGTTAGTCTCATTTATAATCATTTAACTATTAAAAATTATGGAAAATTAGTCATATGAGATTTAGTTTTATTCGTCTCGATGAGTACATTATTAAAATCAAACTTTTATATTATTTGCTAGGAAAAGATTAAAAATATTTGCGATAAAAAATTTGCATCCATATAGATAATTATTACTTAGTTTTTTTTTTTTTTTTGTTTTTTTAAGAGAAGATAATTATTAGTTTTTTAAAATAATTTAAATTTTAATTATTCTTTATTCGTTGTTTTTACGTATGTGTCAAAATTCTTAAATATTATTCGTCACTTTTGCTTAGGTGGCGAGTATATTTTTTAATTCTAAAATAAATTATTAATCTAATTTTTCATTGGACAAAATAATACCTTTTCTTATGTGGCGCTCCAAATGATCCCGAAAAATGCCTACTTTATTTATATATATATTAGATTTGTCGTAGATTTTGAATATATTTTGTATCCTTGTCATTCTAAGTTTCCAAACGTGATTAAAACTAGTCTTGTAAACGCTGTATATATTGATTAATGGAGTACATATATATAGTATATACTATAAGTTGAGAAGTTTTCCCAAAATCAAATACTTCATAGATGCAATATGAGGTACTCCGTAATATTTGATCACGGACTCACGGAGTAGTAATTTTGCATACATTTACACGTTAAGACATCATTGTCTAATTCCAAATCATGAATATAATCATCTATCACGGACCTAGGATATTCGAATAAAGTTTTCTCCGTGATAGTGCAATCTAACATTCTTACCTTTACAATTCAGGTCACTTTCGTTCATTTATGGGCTAGGATATTCTTTTCTTCTTTTCCATTCGGCCGAGGGCTTTGCTAGAAATTTAGTGCAAACAGGCCCATATAACTTGCATAGTAATCTGGGCTGAATTTTCAAGTGATCCGTATCCTATAAATACACGAAATCAGAGCAATTTAGTAAGTGTCCGGACCTAGTGTCAGAAAGTCAAAGAATTTTACGGGATCCATCCTGAGGTCATATGATGTTGTTTTGACCCATATACCACCATAAGTCAGTTACACAAAGGCCCCATGAAAGCTTATAGCCAATACAAGTGGCGTGTATGAAAACTGGTAAATTGGATACTTAAAGGCAAATTGGATGGTTTCACCCACCCAAATGGACTCCAAAAGGGTATTACGTCTATAGTTAACTTCTCGAAAAAATTTGTTTCCGGGTCAAAAAAAGTAAAAAAAATTGGCTAAGTTGAAGGCTATAATACACGCTTTTTGGCCAGAGGTTTCGGAACCCGGTGTCGAAAAGTATCGAGATATCAGGGTATACATCCCATGGTCATATAACGTCGTTTGAAACCATATATGATCATTATATGTTGCCATAAATGTCTGTGATAGCCTCGAGTTTATGAAATCGTTCCAAGTTGTAAACGAATAAATTGACAGTTTGTTGGTATATTGTATGCTTTTACCCACCCAAATGGATTCCCGAGGTGTACTAGGGTCCATGGGAAGCATCTCGGAAATTTTTTTAGTCGGGTCAAAAAAGGTGAAAAATTGTCCCAAATTGAAGGGTATAATTACACGAAATCGGAGCAATTTAGTAAGTGTCCGGACCTAGTGTCAGAAAGTCACAGAATTTTACGGGATCCATCCCGAGGTCAT